ACCCATTTGACTGTGTGGGTGTCTACACCACAGCCTCCCATTTTCTTAATGAGAACGGGGTGAGAGACAGTGTCAAAAGCCTTCCGGAAGTCCAGGAAGACTATGTCCACTGCTACCCCTGCATCTAATGATCTGGTGATCTGATCATAAAAAGCCACCAGGTTGGTCTGACAGGACCTGCCACTGATGAACCCGTGCTGATTGCCCCTAAGCATGCAGTCCCCTGCTGGCCCCTCCTGGATGTGTGCCAGAATTATTTTCTCAAACAGCTTGCCTAGGATTGAGGTAAGACTAACTGGCCTGTAGTTTCCCGGGTCCTGGGTGCTGTTTCCCACTGACATGAAGTCTGATCCCTGATCCCTTGGTCAGACCTAGGGAGGCTGCAGTGTGTGAGTGAAGCAACGGCAGGAAATGAACCCGTTTGCAGAGCAGGGGTTGGAGGAAGGAGCACTTTGCACTGCTCAACAGTCAAGGAAGCTGCAGCTCTTTCCTCTGCGGCCCTCAGCGACTGCATAGGTGAATGCAGCAGAACATGGATAAATTGAAAATAGCAGGCAACTGAGAATCCCTTGCTACACATCGGCAGCCCGTATGTTTCCTTTCTCTCCTGCTTTTCTCCTGTGAAAGTCTCTTGGCAGGAAACATGCTGGGGTCTCCGGATTATGAGAGCTAGGATCCATGATTCTCAGATTAGTTTTAAATTCACAGGTGCAAACCTAGAACAATGCACCTTCCCTACAAAGTTATTTTTAGGATTCTAACTATGCTACAAAGATGCCATTGTATTACAGCAACATGGCTGGAGGAAGATGTGGGCCATGTCCAAAACACAAAGATATTTAGGGCTGGGACCATGCCTTTGATGTGTCTGTACAGTGGCTAGTGCCCTGTGGGCATTTCCAGAACCAGTAAATAAAGCCATCACCACCTAGAATGGATGTCTTTTACCAGAGACATAGGACCAGATTGTGGTTTTATCTTCATCAGGACAAATCCATCAAAATCAAGTGTTAACTCCATATTTGCACATCTGCGATTGAGATCCGAGTATGGCCAATATAATACAGGTATAGACAATGTCTGCTGTCAGTAGGAATTTTTCCATTCACTCCAATGGGCTTTGGACAGACCCAAACTGAACTAAATGAAAAGAATAATGTGGCTACTTACAGCTCTCAATGTCAGCCCCAGCCAGTTTGCCTGTGGTACCAAAGTGGATTCGGATAAACTTGCCCTAGATAAGAAAATGAAAGATGAGTCAGTTCACCAAGATTGCAGCATCTGTAGGAAAACAGCAAATAACTGACAGAGTCAGAGTATTCACAGGAGACAGAAAGCTGTGCCTTCGGGGGCAAGTTTGCACGTCAGCGAGAGGAAATTTAATCTTTTCAAAGATCAAATCTATTAAAAAAAAAAGCCTGTTGTTCTTGAACATTTTAGCAGCACTTAAAGAAATCTTCCTGTTCTTACAATATTAGATAATGGTGAATATGGCACAGGCCAAAGGACTGGGAGTTAGGAAAAGCCATTAACAACCCCCTATCTTTTAGTTTATGGGCCATTGAAAAAATTTGAAAGCCGATGGCAATTCAGCATGAAAATAAAACATTTCAGGGGGTTTTGGTGACATTAAAAGAATAAAAGTTAAAAAAATGCATGTTGGGTTGTTCACATTTCGTTTGGACAAGTTTTGGTTTTATTACCAATGTTGAAAGCAAATGTCGTTTCACTGCGAAAAGTCAGAGCATTTTATTTGGAAAATACCCAGATTGGATGTTTAGAAGGGTTCTCATTTTTTTAATCCAATCAGCAAAGTCAGCCGGTATTTGCAAGAGTTGGTGTCACTGGATTTGCATTTTTCGCTTATCCAAAGTTTTGTTTGGAACATTTTCCCCATCTCTACTGGGACCTCTTTCACACACCGGCTTTGACACTGGACAACTCTCTGGGGCCCTCATTCATGAAAGTATTTCACACATATTTCAGACAGTGATTTCTGGGGGATGTGAGTACAGGCTTCCTGCTTTCCTGAATCATTGTGTACATAAATTTTCCTATAGGTACAAGGCCTTCATGATAATTTCCTTTCCCATGGGACAAACTATGGGTTCATTTGGTAGTATTAACAAAGTATTTTAAAGACACTACATAAGTGCTAGAGGTTGTTAGTCTGGTGGTTTTTTAATCTGGATGCATGTTTCTGAGATTTACATCCTATTTACGTGCTTCCTTCAGGAAGCTGGAAGCCATATAGCTGGATGTAGAATAGTAGTGAACACACACTACTGTCTGAAAATGCAGTGTGCTGTATACATCATTATTATTCCTAGAGGGATTTTTTTCCCCTTTGCGAGCACTTATAAATCATAATGGAATTGCCATCGAAACAGAACTGAAGGCAGCAGAGTCCAGCACTTACGAAACGTGAGGAATTGTTGTTCCTGGTAGTTTTGGCATTTCCAAAGGCCTCCAGAACAGGATTAGCCTGGATGATTTGATCTTCCAGGGACCCCTGTACAAGGAGAAGCAGGAGATCAAAATCATCAGAGCACTGAACACATTACTCGTGACAGCCACGCTCTTCCCGCGAGCTGCTCAACTCAGGATGGCGGAGAGGTAGCTGCAGCCAGGATGCCTGCACTCTCGCTTGCTGTCAGGGAGCCTTACCTTCCCGTCGGCAGACTGTTTGCCAGTGCTGCCGATGTTGGCAAAGTACTGAATGACCTTTTTCGTGTTCTCAGTCTTGCCGGCACCGGATTCTCCACTAAGTGAAACGAACAAGGAAAACCATTAGGTGCTGGGGGGGAAAAAAAGAAATGATCAAAAGCAAGCAATGGTTTGCATGCATCAGGAGAGCTGCACTTGTTCTCAGGCAGGAGCTGAGATCTTACTTTCTCCAACGTTAGCAGGAAGAAACTGAAGGTAGTGGCTGTGGGTAAAACCCTCTGGGGACAGCTACCTGCAAAATTTATGTGAACTGGTTCTGCTCTGCCTTACGCTCATGCAAAATTGATGCTTGCTGAATTGTACCAAGGAGCTCCCAGATCCGTGCATGAGAAGGGAGCAGATGAAAAGAAGGGAACAGGACTGGGCCATCCTGACCGGCACCAGATGACATCCCCCCTCATTCTGCCCTCTTGCTCACTGCCTGCTTCCTCCGTTGCCTTCTCTCCTGCTCACTGGGTACAAAGGGATGAACAACACCCTGAAGAAATACTCACGTAATCAGCATAGACTGGTTCTCACGGTCTGTGGAGAAGAACAAACAGGACAAAAGTGGGTGTTAATAAAGGTTTTCAGATTCCCATAGGAGCAAAGGAAATCCTGTGCAGTTTGAACATAATCTGGACTTGGGGACAGCTCCTTTCTACCTCCTCCACACCATGGTCTCTTCCTTCTCCAACCACAGAGGGAAGCCTATGACCATGGGTCTTGGCAGGGAGGAGGAGAGCATCTGCAGGACACTCTCTCTGTTTTTTTCCTATCAGCCTTGTAGAAAGCTCTCCAGAGGGCTCCATGGAGGTCCAGTCCCCCGGGATCAGTGCCAGTGGGGATCTGGTTGGTCTCTCCCATGCCAGGGAAGCCCAACTTGGCAGCATCTTTCAGTGCTTCCCTCTTCAAGGCTTAGAACCTCACACTCAAGAAGGTATCTCAGGGTGGATACAGTTAGGAAGAGCGATGATAAAGGGCCCTGAGGGACAATGGGTATTGCCCAGGCTATGGTTAGGTCAGCAGAGGAAAGGCTGCACAAGCAGGGTGAGTTTTACACGGGGAGTCCTGCGAGCCGAAAGAGGGCAATCATCATCATCATTCCAAGCACAGACAAGACAGCATCATGCAGGACAACAGGTTGCATGAAGCGAGGACAGCTTGAGAGGAAGGACAAATGCAGACATGAGCAGGGGTGTGAGCTGTGCAGAGCCAGGAAGGTGAGAATGAGAAGGTTTGACTAGCATCAGGAGAGGAGCCACTCTGCAAAGTGAAGGTGGCTGGAGAAATGGGAAGAAGGCATTGTCCGGGGGGCTATATTTGGCTTCCAATAAGTCAAGGGTCACTTTGCTGACGTCAGCGTGAACAAAAGCAAACACCGGGTGGTGAAGATAGAAGCAGAGGAGTCAGCTTGTCCTTAGAACTCACCCATGAGCATGTCATGGTAGGCATTGTCAGAGATGGAGAACAGGTGAGGAGGCATCTCTGTACGCTTCCTGCCCTTGTACATCTGGGCAACCCGGGCTCCATAGATGGGCAGCCACTTGTAGGGGTTGATAGTCACACAGAACAAACCGGAGTAGGTCTGGAGGGAGAGAGAGTAAATAAACCATCCTGCACGTGGCAGGGACAACATAGAAACGACCATGGCTTTGTGCTCAGAAGCAGAAATCTTTACAGGGGGCCTGGCTGCCATTGGCCAACAAACTCCTTCCCCACAGCAAGGAAAAGCAGCCAGGTTCCCTTCCCACCCACTTGCAAACATTGTTGCTTGGGGCCCTGTTATTATTTAGGTAAGATGATTTTCACCATGTTTCTTCAAAGAACATTCAGGTCATGTTTTGCAAAGAGGCATCATCATTGGGGCGGTTGGAAACACGGAGCTTGTTACTGAGCTGTCTCTGGTGACACTCCAGTTTTCTCAAAAGCCCAATAATATAATACATCCAGATAGCAGCTTTCCCTCCAGGATCTCAAAATGCCCTTGAGCTGTACAAGCATCATTGTTATCATCATCATTATCATCATTATTGTTGTGGCTGTAAAGCTTTTTGAGAACTTGAGTGAAAGGTATAATAAGAATAATAAGGATAATAATTGTGGTTGTTACAGTAGCACCTACAAGCCTTGGTCACAGACAGTGTGCGAGGTGCTGCAATTTATACTAAAAATGCCGATAGGTCATTATCTCTATTTTCCAGGTGGGAAACAGGCAGAGTGAGGTGAATGGCTTGAGACACAGGGTCAGGATGACAACCCAGGCATCCTGACACTTAGCTATTTGCTTTAACCAGATGAGAGACAAGCAGCCAGAGAGAAGGGGCTGAATGCTAGAAGGCTAAAGTTGCACCAGATTTGCACCATCCTCATTTTAAGATTTCAATCTGGCTCTCTGCACTGGACTGTTTCTGTAATCGCTGCACACTGCACAGCTGTCACCTCTGGCTGTTCCACTCACATAGATCCTCATGTGGACATAACGCTGACGCAGGTTGTCCAAGACGCTGGCCTCATTCAAGAAGGTCATGTTGGCCATGTCACTGATCTGGTAGAACTTGGGTGGGTTCATCTGCTGGACATTATCCTTCTTCAAAGTGAGGGTCTGTGGGGCGAGAGGAACACCGCGTCAGTGCGGCTGGGATCTACACACCTTCCATCGGAGACGCCGGCTGTGTCCTTCAGAGTGAGAGGACTGATGCTCATGCAACTAGGGAATGGTACCAAGAACCTTTCTTTGCCAGGTCAGTGGATTGAATCTAACATTTCAGAAGCCACCAAAGATGTTACCCTCTGAAGGGGGTTTGTTGGCCCATGTGAGAAAACTCTAACAGTCCCAAGGGACGTGTATCCACATCTCAGTCCCTTTCTGCCCTGCCAACACTGCCTTATTAGCCATCTTAGAGGGACTCCAGACATGAAATGGCCAATGCCACCGGACTGTGCTTTATCCCTACTGGTTCTTCATCCAGATCAGGCACAGCAATAAGGAGCAAGCTTGAACTGCTGCTTTCTGAGCCTAGGTCCCCCAGGGATAGTGGGCTTCAGCCTCCTGAGCTGCCAGCTCCAGCACAGAGACATCCTAATCTATGAAGTAAACTTTGAGGGTGACCATGTTTCCTTCCCATGGAGGAACAGAAACCTGGCTGTGCACCCACTGTGGCTTTCAGGGGTTGGGTGGGAGCAGCCGTATTCACCTCCAGGCAGTCCAGGGGTCACCAACTGCTCTGCCAATGAAGAGCCCAATCCTACAAACTTCACCAGCGAGTGTGTCTCTTCTTGTATCCCAACTGGCTTCATGACTAGTCTTTTTAGGCACTAAATTGTCAGTCCCTCTCCCTCCCGTCCAGAAGGATATGACTGACTTCTACTAATGTCAGTCTTAACCTAACCTAAATGAGTAAGAAATGGCTCCCTGAAATCAAGAGGCTCACCCCGGAAAAGCACCTGCAAAATTCACAGCAGTAGCAGGGCAGGAGTTGCTGTTGCCCCCTTGTCCAGCTCATCACACCAGACTTACCTGGTTGGCCACAGTCTTCACAGTGACTTGGTCACCCGCATCCGACTGGATCTCACCAGCGATAAAACCCTCCTTTTCATCCTTCACCCAGCATGACTTCTTGATGTCATAGGGCTTGTTCATGGCCTCGATCTTCTCTTTTTCAGGAGGAGCCAGGTATGGCATGGGGTCCACATCGTCCCCACACTCTCCTTTATACGCACCAGGCATCTTTGCTTTAGGGCAGGCAGCAGGTGAAGCCGGAAGGACAAAGAGATGGGGACCAGTGCTTCCCTCAAAGCTGAGAAAAAGAAGTGGGGAAGAGCCCAAAATACAGTAAGAAACACAAAGGGAAATCCTGAAGCCCTATCCTTTGCCATGTTGGCCACTGATATCTCTGAGTGAATCCTATTAGGGCTATATGAGGACAACTTGCGGGACAGGAGGAGGTGAGGGTGTCTCCAATGTGCTGAACATCTCAGAGACTCTGTGTGGCCCTGGGCTTCTGTCATCAGTGACTATCACCCCCAAATGTCTCACTTACTCCTGTGGCCAGAGTAAGGCAGGTGGCACAAAGCCTGGCCTGTGCTCTCCTTGCCGGATCTCCTGCAGATGCAAGCCAAACATGAACCCTCTTACCAGGAAAGACTGAGGCTGCGTCTGCACAGCAAAAGGAAGGTGTGCTTGGAGTACATGTAGACAAACCAGAACTAGCTTTAGTTTAATTAGCCCTGGTGAAAATATCAGCAACGATGTGGCAGCAGGGGCCCCTGGGTGTGCTAGCAACCTAAGTACCAGCCCTCCAGGGGCATGGGCAGGTACATGGCCTGGCTGATGTCTTCCCTGCTGTTGTTACCCATGCTGCCTACCTAAATTACAATCATATTTCTCTTTTGTGCCTCTATTCTGCTTTCCATTTCTTCAGCCTCATTGCCGGCAGCCCTGAGCAGCGTTCAGCCCCAGTATTCATCTCAGTAGCATGAGCTGTGTGGTTACAGTCAGGCTTGACTGACGGAGAAGGTCCCGTGGGGACAGGCCGGTGACTGTTTGCCAGTTGCTGCAGACACCGCTTGGGTTGCAGCCTCTCAGAATAGCCCGGCATTGGGCTGCAGAGTGATCCTGCTCTCGGTCCCACCGGGGAGCTCCATTTCTCCACCATCTTCTCAAGACCTTGATGGTCTAAAAAAAACCATACGGGCCAGAGATGGTGGAGCAGAGCCTTCAACCCCCAAAGGCTATAATGGAGCCAAATGAAGTCATGGTATAACTCCAGCAACCGCAGTGAGCGATGGACAGGGCAAATTTCCCCAGAGACTCTGGAGGAAGAAGTTTTGCTCTTCAAATTCCCACGTAGCCCATCCAAGATACAGGAGTGCGAGAGGTTACCTGGAGTAGGGTTAAGGGACATTTTCCCTTTCACTCCCAGTAGCTGAATCTGCAGCCCTGGCTACTGCTGTTAGACTCAGATTTACAGGGCTTCTTTAGGACAAGATTTTGCTCTCCCTTACTCACATGGAGCAATTCCCTTCCCCTCCCCCAGCAATCTCATTTACCCACCTGGGGCTCAGTCAACACCGAATGTGGGCAAGGGAAACAGAATAGGATCCTCCTCCTCTAAAGCAGATTGGTGTATTATTAGCTATGTTACACTCCCCCTTCCCCTGGGAAATGCATGTATAAATAAAAGTGTGGTAGTTTCCACTTCCTTCACACACAGCTGCTGCCCTGAGCATCTCCTGGCCCTTTACAAACCTTTAACTCATTAAGCCTCACTGCCCCTTTGTGGGGCCTTTTACTGATGGGGAAACTGGGGCATGGAAAACCTTCAAAAGCGCCCATCCATTTGGGATGCCTCCATTTTACAGAGTCCAGCAAGAAGCACCTGGCTGTCTGATTTTTCTCACCACATGCCTTTCTTTCCATAGCCAGCGGGAGCTATGGCTGCTCAGCTCCCCTGCAGCCACCCAACCGTGTCTCCTATAGGGACCCAGGAGCATGTATTTTGCAAACCAATGTACAAAATGTCTTGCCAAAAGTCACCCGATGAGCACGTGGCCAGGCAGCCCCAAAGCCCTGCCATACCTTCCTCTGGTCTGAGCACCACAGGGTACTTCCTGCTTTGTGTTAAACTCATTATTCAAAAACAACTGCAAAGTCAAGCAGGTTCATTGCTCTTGCTCTCTTTCTTTCTCTACGTCATCCTTCCCTGAACTCCAGGATGTTAGGTTCGGTTCTCAAAGGAGAGCACCACTTTAATACTCTTGGTGAATTCAAGGCTGCCCAACTTCAGATGCAAACGAATCCGTACTGGTTAGGATACACACATAGCTCCTTCTTCATACAACCAGCTATCACACCGCCCCTTCCTGCCTCTGTTTCCAATCCCTGCCCAACACAGGTATATGAATTCCTGCAGAGCTTCCCACCACGCTCCCACCCAAGAGCCACGCACAGCAAGTACTTGCCAGAGACGATGCTGAAAGACGCCGCATGTTTACAAGGGGCTGGCCAGCTTCTTTTATAGCCATCCTTTTGGCCTGAGCCTGCACTATTTTTAAAAAGAAGCCAGCCCATTTAAGATCCACAAACTCAGCTGGCCTCAGTGTTGGAACTCAATTGGCCAAAGCTCGCGTCCCTCAGGGGCGATCGGTTTATGCCCTGTTTCTTGGGGAATTCTCCTTCCCTTTCTTCTCCTTATAGGGCATCTAACAAACTCAACTGCATGCGCCCAGGGGCCTGAGGCCGAAATAGAACAGCTGCCTAATGACATTTTTCTGCCTAAGCCATGACTTACAGCCAGGTCCTTCATGCCAGGCGGCAGACAAGGGTTTCATTAGTGAAGGTAGCTCATCAGGGCAAGGCAGGAGTCCGGCTGAATGGGCACAGGGCACCAGCTATGCTTCTTGAGTGGTCCGATCAGTTTTGACAGAAGGAGGCTTCCTCTTCAGAAGAGTATCTAGCCCAAACCATGTGTGATGAAAAGCCTTCTCCATGGGGAGTCGAGTCTGCAGGCAGGCAGATACAACGCAGAGGTATAACCGCTCATGCCAGGATTGAATCTGACCCTTCTGCTTGGGAGATGTGAAGTGTCCCCATTCGTATCCCAGCAACGTATTGACTGAGAAGCCTAAGGATGACTATCACAGCATCTGACGATCACAACATCTCATGCTATATAGCTCTGATTGAGTTCATCTAGGAGGTGCAAATCTACCCTGCCTTCTGCTTGGCCGTTTAGATGTCAGCTTTAAGCGTTACATTGCTCTTTATTTCAGCAGGAGCATCTGGGGACTGTGGGACTGGGGAAAGAGTGAGGAGAGCCCCATCATCTCCTCCAGCCATGGGGAGCTGTGCAGAAGGGCTGTGCTTGCCGACAGCGAGTATGTGAGGGAGGGAGCTTGCCAGCAAGAGTTTGCAGAAAAAACACATTGGAGGCAAATGTGAGGGATCTTATGGAAAGCAGATTTTGATCATGTAATGACTGTTCCCCCTAGAAGCCTAATTCTGTAATGATGTTCATTCAATCAGTGAACATCAGCAAATCACAGGAGGGTACATGTCTAATCAAAACTAGCCATCCTGGCCTGAATTTTGAAAACTGAGCAGGTGTGATAAACTGCCTGTGAATGAACTAGAGAGAGAGAGTCTTATTCATTAGGTTCACACGAGGAATGATTTCAATGAATGAACCAGTGTTTGAAAATCATAACAGACTCGGGATTTTTTTTTTTTACTTTCTTTAATATGGGCTTGATCCTACCAAATGCTAACTGCACTTGGCTCTTGTGGAAGATGAGGGAGTTGAGGATTGTAAAATCATAGGCAAGTAGGGTTGGAAGGGACCTCAGGAGGTCTAGTCCTAGACAGGTGCTGGTCTAACCTATTCAAAGCTCTGGGAACAACCTTCACACATAACTACTAGGCACAATACCTGAAACATCAAAACCACCCTTTGACTATCCACAAGGGATAAGGTGACTAGCAGTGTCCTGCCACTGCAAGGACAGGAAGTAGATTGTTAAATACGGTCAGGGCCAGGCTCAAAGGCAGTGACGCCTGCTTCACACTCCCATGTCTTTATATTTTCACTGTTTGAGCTGGGGGAGAGGTGAAGAGTGTTCTGGGCACTATTGCCAGGGCTATGCTTCAGAAGTATCCCACCTGTAGGCAGTTTTTGGATAATACTTTGAATCAGCACATATTCAGGGGTCAGCAACATTTTTGGGCAGAGTGCTGAAAACACCCACAACTTCAACTTGTAAGATGTTGGTGTGCCAGGGGTGGATGACGGAGGAGCCACGAGGGCCCGTAGCCTCGGCCCCTTCCCTGCCATCCACCCAGAGGTACATGTGCCAAGCAAAATGCCTTCAAGTACCATACTCTGGCACCTGTGCCAGGGGGTGCCTACCCCTAACTGATTAAATACACCAGGTTGTACTGCATCCCTTGGGTGGGTGGTAGAGACTAAGGTAGAAGTGGGGAAGATGTTATCACATCTTCCTACAGTCATTATTACTTTGCTTCCTCTAGAAAGTCAGCAACTCCAGCACTGGATGAGAATGGAGAGAAATGACTAAGAGGTTCAAGCATCCACCTAATCCAGCCAGAGACAGACCTTTCCCCTTGGTAAGATGACAGGGTTTGGTGGGGTGGGGGGCAGTTTTTGATTCTACAATGACTGCAGAAACCTGCCTGGGGTCCAGCAACAACAACTACAACAATCATTTTGGCTGTTGATGGGGTGACTTTAAAGTCAATGACAAAAGCCCTAAGATTGATGGGAACGGGACAAAGCAACCACACATTTCAAAAGTTTCTCCAAGAAGGAGTCTCCAAAAGGTCCTCTCTCTATGAACAAGCAGGCCTGGCCTGGCCAGCTGTAGCCTGCCATGTTCTGTGCCTGAATTGACACACACTGTGAACCTAGATGATGATAACTGAGCGGGAGCAAGGAATGTAGGAACCTTGGATATGGCATCTTAGATAGGGTGAGTACCTGCCTGGTGCACTGGACTGCCAGACTCCGGCCTGGGACTTTTGACCAACTGGCCAGGATTGGCCTACAGAATCCAGGACTGTCCCGGGCAAATCGAGACGTATGGTCACCCTAGCTAAAGGGGAATGCCCACTCCTTCTTAACAGTATAGGGCTTATGAAACAGAGTTGAGTAGTTCAGATTCTACCCACTGGAGGGCAACGGTGCTCATAGAAAGAAACTCATTCATTACATT